GAGCCAGGTGTGGCTGGAGGATGGGAGCTGGGGAGACTGTGTGGGGACAGCAAACTTGGCACCTTTTGTTAGCATCCATTAACTCATCCAGCATTCCTGGTACCTGTCAGTTATTTCTAGGCTAAGCTCCCCAACTCCCTGCTTCTTCCTCATTCCTTACTCAGGTCCTGAGATAGGCCAAGCTCTGTGCTTTTTTTTTTTTCTATATCAGTTTCTCTTGCTATGTAATGGGCGAGAGAAAAACCCAATCAGGAAGCTTTCAGAGAGTGGGATTGTGACTGGATGGACCCAATTCAAAGTTTGCCTGCCTGACCTTCAGGCTACTAAAGGCCTTCCATAATGTACTCTACTTCCTTATGGGAGCTGCAGGCTTTAGGCAACAAATTACAAGTATGAGGGTGCGCTCTCAGACAGAATGATTGCCATGGGAATCAGCAGAGGCCGAAGGCGATTTGTGGGGCCACATTCCCCGGCCTGTGTTCTCTGTGTGTGCCAGGGGAAGGAATAAATCATTGTTCAGGGGCGGGATGCAGCTGCCGGGCTCCTCCCCGCGGCACATGTCCCGACTCCAGCTCCTCCATTGAGGGCTGCTGGAGCAGAGCGGTTTATACACCCAGCTCCCCAAATCCTATTGAGGCCTCCCCCTCTGCACGAGCCACCGGCTCCAAGCCCATTCAGGCTAGCCCTTTGTGCTAGAGGTTAAGTGGTTACATGTGGGGGGCACCCAGAAAGGACCTGTCAGGCCCTGAAAGGCTGTGCTGATACTGAGCCCTCCTACTGATGAATGGGGTGGGTGGAGGAGAGGTGGGCGGCCTGAGGATGGGGTGGGGGAGAGGGCATGGGGATTATGGAGCCCACAGAGGCAGCTGCTAGGAAGGGGGTGGAACAGGCACCCCTTCTCTCATTCTTCCTTCAGATCAGATTTTCTATCTAGCTCACTCCCATTGCTGTGGGCTCTGGGGTGTTCAAACAGCCGTAGGACTTTGGATTTGACTTTTCTGGACTCCTGGTGGAAGAGAGGTTTGGGAGAGAACATTTACCACTTAGGTGCCTTGGGGATAAGGGTCTATTTCATTCGTCCAACAGCTCCAAAACACCCCCTCAGTTTGCCCCTTTTCCCTCCAGGAGTGGAGGGAAAGGTTGGGGCGGGAACATCTCCCAAGTTCATGTGGTGCAGTGGACTTGAAACTGTCCCACTGAACTTTAAAAGCTTCCTGGGACATCCCCCCTCAAGATCTGTTTAGGGTGGGGGTGTTCAGGGGAGAAAAGAGACCTCAAATTGGGTGTATTGCAAATATTTTGCATGAAAATAAAAGATTCCAAGCCTTCAAAAAAAATTTTTAGCTTCAGATTTGATGTATGTCCCCCCTCATTTTATAGCTGAGAAAACAGCCATATGGGGGATGGGGGGTAGACCTGTCTTACCTAACATGGTCACAGAAATTTCTTGATAGACCAGAGTGGCACTTTACCTTTAAGAGGCTGAGGAGAAAATGGATGAACAAAACAACTAGGTCACCAGCTTTGTAGGCCTTTCTTTCCCCGAGATGAGCTAATTCTGGGGAATGATTTTCCTTCTAATATGCCTTCAGGGCTCTCTGATACATCAAAGGTTCTCCAAGGCTGTGTGCCTGGTCTTGGGATCCCAATTAACAATGTTTGTATTATAATGTTATTTAATAACGTTCAAGGCATAGTATCTTTATTTAACCTAAAAAGGTTAAAATGGTTTGATTTGCCCAAGTTCCCAAAGCCATGTGAGGAGGTTGACAGATGATATGAGCTCAGGAAGAAAATAAAGCAGGTGGCTGGTACCCCAGCACTGGCAGCCTGGGCTTTGTTCTGATGAGGAACCTCTGGGGGCTCCCTGTTATTTCCCTGCTGCCCCCCGGAAGAAGCCCCAGCTCCAAGGGATAGTGGTCAAGACCTTTCATCTCTTAGCTTACTTTATCCTCCAGCTTCATCTCCTACCTCTATTGCCCAACATGTACGAGTCACACTGGCCTTCCCTGTGTTCTCTCAACACACTCAACACACAAACCACAGATGGTCTCCTTGGCCTTTTCCTGCTTTCTCTCGGTGAGCTTCTATTCATCCTTCAAAGCCTGGCTCTGCACATACAATATAGACTCTAACTCAACAGTCAATCCAGAATTTGTTGTCTTTTGTAGCCAGAACACATATGAAGGGGTAGAAGTAGGTGTGGTGCCTTATGTGATTGTTCCTAATGACTTTCTCTCTGACATTCTAGGTTCTACATGGTCAGGAAGGAGGCTTTGGCATCTTGGGAGGAATGTTTCTAACCAGGGAACACAAAGGTTTCATTCCAAGCTCCTCATAATACTAGAGAAATAGAAGAAAGGAGGTCACCATGTAGGTTGGACTGATGATGGCCACCAGGGGAAATAGAGTTGCTTCTATTTAATGAGGACTGAGAGGTGCATGAGTGGGACCCAGAGATGTTCTAGTAATCATGGTTCTTTTGATTGCGAGTGAAAGAAATCCCACTCAGGTTAGGCTTGGAGAAATAAGGGCCTTATTGGAAGGTATACAAAGGCCTCAGGAAACAGACTGGATCATCACCAGGACAGTCTTTTGTCTCTGCTTCTGTGTGTCAGCATCATTTTCTCCTATTACACACTGACTTCTACTTGCCAGGAAATGTGATTGCTGCAGCCCTAGGCTCACATCTCCCCTGCTTTGTCTCCCTTTCATTTTATGTCAGCCAGTCCCAGAGAAAGATGACTGACTCACCTGGAGGGGGCAGTCCTATCCTGGGACTCATCAGGCTGCTGTTTAACCCACGTGGTTAGGGCTGGGAGAGACGGAGCTGAAGGAGAAGTGGGGAGGAGCTGTGCTGGGCCCACCAAACAATCAGGTGACTATATGGCTGTATGGCTTGGGGAGAGCTGCATAATCCCAACCGACCGTCGACCGTCGAAGCCCAGAGCCTGCAGGAGTAGCGATTTGGGTCACCTCACAAGGAAGAAAACTCTGTGGCTGAAGGCAAGGGGAGCTTGCAGTGGGTAAAGGAAAAGGGAAACTCAGTTCAGACCTGAGGTCTCCACCTGCAGATTCTAAGCTGGGGGAGTATCCAAAGTTTGAGTTACTTTTGCCTCCTCCCTTTTATCTTCTTTTCCCTCTTAAAAATAGGAAACGTCATAATCATACAATGGTTTTTCTTCCCTCTTCCATCTCCCTTATTTTTGTATATAGGATTGGTTGAGGTGATTTAATTTGCATTTAGTCTCTAGGTAGCAGAATGGTGAGTTGGAATCAAGTTGAAACTGGAAGAGGATGTCCCAGCAGAGATCACAGAGTTGAATTCTTTCTCATAAAAAAAAAAAAAAGCAATAGAAAGGGATGAAGGAAAGACAAGGTATTTTATTTATTTGTTAAATTATATTTTTATTGATTTCAGAGAGGAAGAGGGAGGGAGTGAGAGATAGAAACATCAATGCTGAGAGAGAATCATTGATTGGCTGCCTCCTGCATGCTCCACACTGGGGATGGAGCCTGCAACCCGGGTAGGTGCTCTGACAGGTAATCAAACCATGACCTCCTGGTTCATAGGTCGACACTCAATCATTGAGCCACTCAGGCCAGGCAAAACAAGGTATTTTACTTATTTATTAATTCGTTATATTTGTAATAGCCTTGTCGAAACAAGGCCACTAAGCATTTTGGTTACTTCCCAAAAAATTAGGAGAGAGAGAGATGGGACAAGATATTTTAACCGTATTATTCAACAATGAATGCATACTAGTTTAGTTTTGAAATGGGGTGAATGGGGTTGGGGGTACATGAGGAAGGTGTAGCCAATTGCATAGCTTGTTCAATAAAACAGGGGTGTGGAAGGGACCCCCCTGGAAGCTCATGTGCCCTGAAGGCTAAATTTGTCTCAGTCTTCTTTCCCGGGAACTTAAAATAAGAAACCTTAACTTACTTCACACCAGCCAGTGCTTTTTGGTTTTACGATTGAAGCCAGAAATTCCTCTGTTCTCTTTGGTTGCAAACTGAACCACCCAACCCTACCCGTTTCCCCCAAGGAGGAAGGGAGCGAGGGGGTCGCGCTTCAGTAAATAGAAACAGGAGAGCTCACTGCACTGGCCCCATGCCTGTCCCAGAGCAGGTTTTCTTTCTGCTCTTAAAAACGTACCTTTCATTAAATAAGCACACAAGGAATACATAATTTCCGACGGTGATAGCTGCTGTGAAGAAAAGGAACAGAGTGCTCGGGGATAGATAGCATCAGAGAGGCTGATCTGAGAAGAGGTCTAAAATATGAGCGGGGGAAGGGGCTGTTCAGCAGAAGGAACAGTGTGTGCAGCAGCCGCATGGCAGGACGGAGCCGCAGGCCGGATTGCAGAGATGGAGCTCAAAGGCTGACCCGGGAGAGACGGGGCAGGATGCTCAGAGCCCGGAGGATGCTGCCGGATGGATTTACCCCGCAATGGGGACGCCATCAGGGGTTCTAGGCAGGCGGGTGGTGGCATGCCCAGATTTCCATTCTGAGACTGTCACTCTCTCTGCAGAGAGGCGCCCAGTGAGGGCGGTTAGGAACTAACGCCGGACCTGCCAGGCCTCGGCCGAGGCTGC